TTTTTCCTGGTCTGTTTCTGGCTGGCCATTGGAGTATTTCATTTTTCATTTGAAAAGCTGCAGCTAATTAATAAGCATAGCTCTTAACATGTTCTTTGGCCAAGGATTTAAGAACCCAGAGTGTTGTGAGGAGCCAGCAGCTGCAGACCTGTCATACCTTTGCCTATTCTCCGTGATAAGTCAAAGCAAAAGGAAGGTAGAGCCAGGAGGAAGGAGGGGCCTCAGAGAGCCTGAGGCTGTCATACCCACCATTTGTACACAGGACACTATGTATCCACAAGAGAGTGGCTGGTGCTTAGTAGAGTGGTATGATAGTGTGGAGTACCTGTAGGCCAGTGAACTTAATGTTCAGAAACTGAGATAGTAAACTATAAATTAAGCCATTTGTTTAAAAAAAATTTTCTAATTAATGGGAGATTGAAAAATTAACTTTGTATCTTTGAGTTTACTACCCTGCAGGATGTTGAATTTTCTTCATACTACAAAGGAAGAGAGTATAAAACAAAAGAAACAAGACTCACATTTAGAGTATTAACCATTATCGCTGTGTTCCAGGTTATTTTTAGAAGTTTGTGGGTAGGTGTTAGGAAGTTTGTTTAGCTACTCTTGGTCATAGCCGTTCTCCTTGTTCCGTGGCTATTAAAGTACCAGTACTTATTTCTGGACATTGAAAGTAAGAGAGATTTAGTGAAAAATGATCAAAATCTAAAATTTATAAGCCAGTTTGTGTTTTTCTGCCTCTTCTTTTAATTTATAGGATGGGCTAGAGCAGGGGCAGTTTCTGTGTGTATGGGGTGGGGGAGTTCGTATGTTTTAGGATCTGGATTAAAACCTTCGTTACCCTCACTATTGAAAAGATTTGGTTACACATAAAAAACATTGTCCTGTAAGTGTAAACCTATCAGCAGTACTCCTTCCAGAACATCAGATTGACTTAGCATACAGCTGCCATCTATCGTCTCTAATGAAAGAAGAACCCTCCCCCCAGTATAGTTTGTTGTGAAGTATGTTTTATAGCAATTCTGATTAATAGTATAGTCACATTATTAACCTGGCTCAATGGTTTGTGTATGCAAATAGACTGGCCTTTGGTATTGGTTCCACATACCCATGGCTGCCCTTGTTACCTGTAAGTAGGACACACTGGTTCAAATCAAAGAATAAATTAGTTAGTCCTTTGAGGTCTTTAGAAACTTAAAATTGTGAACTTTTGACTTCTTACATATTTCCCTTTCACAGAAGCCTGGAAGATTGAGAGTTTGGTATAGGTCACACAGACCCTCAGTTCTGTAATTGGTCTAGGCTCTTGTGGAGGGAGCATAGTTGGTGGGACCCCACCCACAGTGTGTCTTACAAGGGTACATGTGAAATTTACTGGGTGTAGAATATAAATGTCTTAACACAATAACTAAGAAAATGCCGTGAAGGCTATATTGACCAGTTTGATGAAAGCATTTCAGATTGTGTGCAAAACCAGCACATCGTACCCCATGATTGCATTAATGTACACAGCTATGAGTTAATAAAGAAAAAGTGATCTATATACAGGGTATCTATAAAGTTCATGTACAATTTAAAATACTTTAATGTAGTAAATTGCACGTGAACTTTATGGCCACCCTGTATTTGTTATGAAAGAATTACAATGGAAAACAAAGAGATTGCCTGGCAATTTTTTTTCATTGATAGTTAAGATTGCCAGATTCCCAAAAGGCAGCATCAAATGAAACGATCCAAGATAGTATCACTTGATATATACATAAATACTTAAAGCAATTAATTCTGTTGATATACCAAAATTCAAGTAATGCTCCTCATTGCCTTTAACTAACTCTGTGGTAGCATAATCAACATCCATGTGCTGGCTCACCTATATCTTCCTCCTCTCCTCTCTCCCTCTCTTCTTCTCTCCTCCTTTCTCATCTTCCCTGTTAGGTTATGTGGTAGCTATCCCCAAGAGCTCATAGTCCCTGCCTGGATCACTGACAAAGAACTAGAAAGTGTAGCAAGCTTCAGGTCTTGGAAGCGCATCCCTGCTGTCATCTATAGGTAAGTACGATGGACAAGCCCCAGCTTGGGAGGGTGCTCTTGCCCACTGCGTGTGGTCTGCTGCCTCTGATGCTGTAACCTGGGAAGGGAGGGGAGGAGTCAGAGAATTTCCAGGCAGGTCTGTATTTTCCTTATTGCTAAACCTCCTCCCATACCACACAGGTCCTCACTGCATCCAGAACACTAGCTGGTGGTTCGATTAACACAGATAAGAACATTTTAGTTAAAAAGTAGCTAGTCTTGCTATTTCAGGATCCTTCTTACATTTTGTGAGAAGATAATGTGATCCTGCATTTAGCTTCAGATGTTAGCAGAGCTTTTTGGATTCAGAGAGATGAGTCTTTAGAAAGTGAGAATTGGGAATATCTTTGTGGTTGAAACTTTAATGCATGGAAGAACTGGGTTTTGAGAGGAAGTATTTAGAGAAGACGGGGCTTGACTAGGTGAACAATTTTGGAGATCAGAGGCATGAAAGCCTAGAGATGTGAGTTCTGGATTGAGATAGTGGCATGGTAAATGGAGAGCAGAATTTGAAGACACAGACATGAGTTTAAATCTATTATGACACTCCTTACTATGACACCTTAGGTAAGTTCCCTAGCTGACCTCAGTCTCTTCCTAATGAATAAAATGGGAACCCTTGTTCTTTCTTTGCTGATAGGCTGTCATTCAGATGTTGCGGCCTATAAATATTGGGCTTCTCTTAGCAACATTGAGAGTAGATTGTATCCCTAAGTGTTGCTTTTTATAATTCAGTGACTATCTCAGTTCTCAAAGAATTGTGTTAAATTTTTCAGAAGTCATTACTCCTCCTTCTGGAAATGTTTTCAACATCTTATTATGTTTACCTTTTCCATTTTATTTCTTAGTTTGCAGACTTTTTAGATTCATGCTGGGAGGCATTCTGCTAAAATTTTGAGGTTGTAGGAAGGGATTTTTCTCCTTGGTGATTTCCCACAGAGGTAACCAGCTTGTTCATTTACTCCACTGAAGGCAAATTCTGGTGCCCACCCTGAAGGGAGAAAAGAGGAAAAAATATTTGCTTTATTAGCCCAGTGGAACCCATTAAGTTTTCAATCTCAGTTTTCATCACTATTGTTTCCAAAAAACGCCTGGAAAAGGAGGTCACTAGATTTACTTATCATTCAAGTGGTAAGGATGATATAGGAATTACAAAGTAGTAAAAGCTGAAGGGATTTATGGGTCTTGTCATTGATCAGCCCAACTGGAATGGGGAGAGCAACCGGTTGCTGCTCTGGCCAACAGCTGTGTTAGATCAGCAGCCTAGCATTTGTGGGGCTTGCTGACTTTGAATAAAAGGGAGAAGTACTCTCATTTTTGGAGTGTGAGAGTCTTTAGGTGAATTCTCCCCTTTGGCAGTGCTAGTTGAAGAAAAACTTCTTAGTATGTAATAAAAATGAGAAGACTTATCCCCCCTTCTGAATTTTATTCTAGAGGTCATGGGGATCCCCCCTCCTTTCTAGAAACCCTAGAAGATACATAAATAAAAATTTTTATTTGCAGTTTTTGAGAGAGTGAAATCTCCTTTCAGAAGATTACAAATGAAAGTTCCTTAGCCAGGCGTTGTGGCGGCGCCTATAGTCCCAGCTACTTGGGAGGCTGAGGCAAGAGAATTGCCTAAGCCCAAGAGTTGGAGATTGCTGTGAGCTGTGACGCCTACTGCACTCTACTGAGGGCGACAAAGTGAGACTCTCTCTATAGAAAAAAGAAACAAAGTTCTTGGTATAATCCATGTAAAATCAGACAGGTGTCTGTCTCAGAGCATCTCTGAGCTCCAGCCTGGGTTGCTGTACCATTTGGGAGTTTTGTAAAAGTGATATATTGAATGTTTGGGACATGCTACCACTCTCTGCTTTGCCAGCTTATGTGCAACATGCCTCTAAATCAGGCATACATTTACTGAGTTTAGTTTTCTATAGGCTACAATGATTCTTGAGTTTGCTAGCAACAGTTACTTGACAGTACCACACTGAACCAACACCTGATTAGGGCTTTCTCTTACTGTGATGAGAGAGCGCTTAATGGATTTATTATTGAAGGCAGAGATTGCTCTAATATACAGCAAGATGGTGCAAAGAGCACCCATGTGTAGTGTAGTTCACAGCTACTTTTCATGCATGTGATGATTATTGGAAATCCTTAGTCACTTAGGGAGCTTGCCTAAGTCTAATTTGGGAATAGTTAAAATAATTACGTTTCTATATAAAATTGAAGTGTTGGCTCGGCGCCTGTGGCTCAAGTGGCTAAGGTGCCAGCCACATACACCTAAGGTGGCGTGTTCGAATCCCCAGCCCGGGCCCGCCAAACAAAATGATGGCTGCAACCAAAAAATGGCCAGGCGTTGTGGTGGGTGCTTGTGGTCCCAGCTACTTGGGAGGCTGAGGCAGGAGACTCGCTTGAGCCCAGAAGTTGGAGGTTGCTGTGAGCGTGATGCCATGGCACTCTACCCAGGGGGATAGCTTGAGGCTCTGTCTCAAAAAAAAATAAAAAATAAAAAATAAAATTGAAGTGTTCATTGTTTTAGTAGAAGGCTTACCTATTAGACATCTTGATTGTTATACTTTTCCTGGTTCTGTTTGTTAAAGTGATAGAAATGCTTTTTCTTCAGTGATTTTTTAACTGTAGTGTTTGAGTTATTTTTTATGCAGTCTAAATCCTCTTAGGGAACTGCAGAAAACGTAACTGCTAGTTGCAGTGGCTCATTTGAAATCTATTTATGCCAGTGGCCCTTAAAAACCCAAGATCCAGGCTGAAGAGTGCCATCTACTGCTCCTTTTGGGCACTGCTGGGAATCATTGCAGAGGAAGAAGATGCTCAGGAAAGGGCTTCTTCTGTGAAGGTTTGGAATCATTCAGCTCAGAGCCTGAATATCAGCTAGGGGATATTTTAAGAATCAGTGAGGTTTTATTTCTGGTTTGGCTCCATTCAACATGTGAGCCAGTTGAGGGTGTTGGCAATACACAAGTACTTTTAGCTACTCGTTAACAAGAAAACTGGTGGTTCCAGTGCAATCTGATTATCACCAATTTTTTTTTTTTTTAAGGGACAGAGTCTCACTTTATCACTCTCAGTAGAGTGCTGTGGCATCACAGCTCACAGCAACCTCCAACTCCTGGTCTTAGGTGACTCTCTTGCCTCAGCCTCCTGAGAAGCTGGGACTACAGGCGCCCACCACACCCCCAACTATTTTTTTGTTGCAGTTTGGCTGGGGCTGGGTTTGAACCCGCCACCCTCGGTATATGGGGCCTGTGCCCTACCCACTGAGCCATACCCACTGAGCCATACCCACTGAGCCACGGGTGCCGCCCGACTGGTTACTTTCTTTTCTTTTTTGAGACAGAGCCTCAAGCTATACCCTTGGGTAGAGTGCTGTGGCATCACTGCTCACAGCAACCTCCAACTCCTGGGCTAAAGCAAGTCTCTTGCCTCAGCCTCCCAAGTAGCTGGGACCACAGGTGCCCACTACAGCGCCTGGCTATTATTTTTTTGGTGCAGCCATCATTATTGTTTTGGCAGGCCCGGGCTGGATTTGAACCCATCACCTTAGGTGTATGTGGCTGGCGCCTTAGCCGCTTGAGCCACAGGTGCTGAGCCAACTGGTTACTTTAATTAAAGAAAAAAACTACATATGGTTCACCCTGGGTTACAAGACAGTGCCTTATGCCTTACTATATTCTAAATTGTGTGGTCATCACCACAGTCAATTAAAGAACGTTTTCATCATCTGAAGAAGAAATCCTATACCCATTAGCAGTCCTCATCCCCTACCCAACTACCCTAGCCATGGGTAACCAGTAATCTACTTGCTGTATCAGTAGATTTGCCTATCCTGGACACTTCATACGAGTGGGATCATAGAATATGTGGTCTTTTGTGTCTGGCTTCTTTCACTTACCATAAATCATTCAAGATTCATTAGTATTGTAGCATGTATCAGAACTTTGTTTGTACTGCCAAATAATGAGTTTTTAAAACTTTTTAATGCTAAAGTTGCCTAATTAGGAATAGCCTGGGCTTTAATAGCAACTAAAGTATACTATGGGTACAATTTCTGGTCGGTCTGTCCCCCCCCCCCACAAAGGAAATGGTCTGTCTTCCTGAAAAAGAATCTGGCAGTGTATTCCATACTGAGGTTGGTACTGCTGCTTTCCTTCCAAGGAAGAGTGGCTGGCTTGGTAGCCTCTCTGCCTATAAGAAAAAGCAGTTTGTCACTTACAAAGTTTCAGGAGATTTTTGTAAAGCAGTTCAGTGTGGGCTATATAAATGTTTCAATCCTAAAGGCGGGATCTTGTTTTGAGAAGAATCTCCAAGCCAGAATTCAGTTGCTGCAGTGGACCTTCAGAAGTCAGTGAGGGGCACGTTCTTCTCTCTTTTAGCATCTGTTTTTGCCAGGACATTCAGGTTGAATGTTAAAAGAAGGGACTGATACTTCACTATTGGGTAGTAGAATTAGTGTAGTATTTGTAGATTACATTTATTTTGGAAAATAAGGTAAAACACGATTTAGATGTTTAAAATCGTGAATATATTCTCAAAGAATACAGTCATTTTGTTGGTAACTTTATAAAACTCTATGATAATTGAGGAAGATACACACATAGGTTTTATTCTTGTTGATGTATAAGATTAATGCCCTCTGAGAAGACTTGAAGCTAACTCAGGCTGTTTATTAAGACACTTAAAATTCAGTACTTTTACTTTTTGTGTAAGTACAAAGTACCTGAGTTGGGGTCCCTGGGATGGGTACAATTGTTTTCTCTTGTTCCCCACACAGGCACCAGAGCAATGGAGCTGTCATTGCCCGCTGTGGACAGCCAGAGGTTAGCTGGTGGGGCTGGCGAAATGCAGACGACGAGCACCTGGTACAGTCAGTTGCGAAAGCTTGTGCCTCTGACTCCCGATCAAGTGGCAGCAAGCTGTCAACTAGGAATAGTTCTCGAGACTTTCCCAGTGGGGGAGACCTTTCTGATGTGGAGTTTGGTAAGGTGGCAGTTTTTATAGCATCTTAAGAACTTTTTCTTAAAATGACCTTTTCCTTAGAAGACAAAGTTAGGGTTTTTTTGTTCTTTTTGTTGTTTGTTTGCTTTTTTGAGACATTCTCACTGTGTTGCCCTTGTTAGAGTGCAGTGGTGTCATAGCTCACAGCAACCTCAAACTCTTGGGCTTAAGTGATTCTCTTGCCTTAGCCTCCCAAGTATCTGGGACTATAGGTGCCCGCCACAATGCCCAGGTATTTGTTTGTTGTAGTTCTCATTTTTTGGTAGGCCCAGGCCGGGTTTGAACCTGCCAGCCGCAGAGTACATCGCCAGTGTCTTAGCTGCTGAGCTACAGGCACTGAGCCACAAAGTTAGTTTTATAGAAGAGAGAATATGATGCTTCATTTGATGGGATTGTTTGAGGAGTCATGGGTCTTGGCAAAGACCAGGAGTGTTGTCTTGCCATTGTGACAAGAATTGGAATGTCTATGTGATAGGGAACTTGCAGTGTCTCCATACCATGGGGGCCAATATTTGGCTTCATTAGAAGACTAAAGGTATAGAAGTGAAGTATAGAAGATTGGAATAGGTAGACTCCATGTGTGCTCAGGGAGATGGTTTTTTGACAATAAATCCTTACTAACTTTTTAATAAGGCAAGATAGAAAATAAATCAAAGAGAGAACTCCTTCATATCAAAGGTTCCAGTTAGGTGGTTGCATTATGTCTTTTTTCCTATCCATAATATGTGCCTGAGGTTCTAATTTTGCACATTTTGGGGAGACTTCTGGTTCATTTAGTTTTCCCCTCTTTTTATGTCCTCAGATTCTTCTTTGTCTAATACTTCAGGAGCAGAGAGTTTAGCCGTTCAGCCGCAGAAGCTTTTGATCTTGGATGCACGCTCCTATGCAGCAGCTGTGGCGAACCGAGCCAAAGGAGGTGGCTGCGAGTGCCCAGGTGAGGGGGATAGTGCTTTGTCCTTGAGAGTTTGGCCCTAGCCGGTGCCCAGCTTAGTTCTCTGTTTGAAATGGGTGGTAAGCCATATTCCTTATCCTGTCTTACAGGATTCTTAATACTGTTTGCTCTTTTCTGGGGAGAAATGGAAGAGGTGTGGTGAAGCCTTCCTTTCCTGTGCCAACTCTTAGGTGATAAGGAAAGCAGATCCTCTTCCACAATAAAGCTTGTTCATGTTTGGAAGCTGCTGCTTTAGTGGGCTTAATTTCTCAGCCTTCTAAAAGCTTTTTGTTGCCTTGACAAAGGGTATGCTCATCACTGGTATCCTAGCAAACTCCTCACACAGCCTTGACTCAAAAAAACTTGGGTGGAAATTGAAGCAGTAAATACAGAACAGTAAGGTGTGTGTTCCAACTTATAACACTCTTGTTGGAGTACCGGCTTTCCCCAAGGATGGAATCCTCTGCCCTTACCCTGGGTCAGCTGTGTGCAGATAGTATAGGCAAAGGTACCAGGCTGCTTATTCAAATGTGATCTAAGCTGGAAATTGAAAGCATCTATAGCAAGGTGAAATTCCAATGCATGAAGGAATTGTTCTGCTGCGTTTTTTTCAAAGAGATTCCAGAGCCACAAGTTAGATGAGGCCCAAGAAGTAAACATGGATAAGTTAGAAGTTTATAGGTCTTTCTTTTAAAAAATGAGTTTTTATTTTATGTCAGTATCTTCTTTACAGATCTTACCTTCCTTTTTAACCCTTTTCAGAAAGATGGCTAAAACTCAAAAGCACTATTTTCCTTTTATGATAAAGCACTGGGGTTAACAGTTAAGCATCAAAACATTGTAGTTTCATTAGCAGCTGCAGTTGGGTATGTTTTATAGCCAGTTTGGTGCTTTTAATTTGGCCGTGTGGGCTTTAAATTCAACATACTTATTTGTATTCTCTTTGTCGTTCTTTCCAGAGTATTACCCCAACTGTGAAGTTGTATTTATGGGGATGGCAAACATTCATTCTATTCGGAGAAGTTTTCAGTCTCTGCGGTTGCTGTGTACTCAGATGCCAGATCCAGGAAAGTAAGACCTTGACCTTCGCTTTCATTTTCCCTACTGCTTAAAAAATGATTTTTGGAGGTGCCTTTCCTTCTGTTTCTTGGTAAACTTCAGTTATACTTTCAGTCTCTGTATCTCCTTCCTGAGTCAGAAGGATGATAGCACAGAGGAAGAGCTGGGAGAAAAATCTTACCCTTTGAAAAGTTTGAACTAATTTTAGCCCTTAAAACAGAAGTGTTGCCTTCTTGTTTTTTGTGGGACCTCTCCCTTCCCTTCCACATTGCTTTCAGCCCATAGTAATTTGTCTTGTAGTGATACCTGCTGTGAACTAGATGTTTTACCATGAAGAGAAAGAATATATTCATCATGTTTGAAAAGGGTTAAACTAGTCATTAGGTCAGTCCATGTCACATCTGTCCCTAGTTTCTAAATTCGTCTCTTCTTTACTCAACATCATCATGATTTTTATTGCTTATTAAAAATGAATGGCTGGTATTAGTAGTGAGGAAGGTGAAATAATACCTCCTCCAAGGGTACTGTTTGAATACAAGAAAAATTAGTAGTAATACTCAAAACACATACTGACCAATAAATATTTAAACGCCCCTGTTTTGTTAGGATAGGAAAGATAGGATTTCTCTTTTCTAGTGTTTGTTCTGGAGCCCATAGTTGTTTCCCTGGGTCCTGTTCTGTAAATCTCATAATCAAATCAAGTTTTGCTGCAGTCTTTATTTATCAAATCATATGTTGCCTGAACCACTTGTACTGACTTCCAGTAGCAAATGATTAAATTTATCATAGTTGCAATCAGCCCAGAGGATGAAGCAGTGTCCTTTGGGAAAAGCCTGACTGAAGAAATGAGCTTGCTGCTTTCCTTTGGGGATAGCCACTTTTATTTGCTGCACAGTTCAAGGACCCAGCTAGCAGCACTCTTTCCCCTAAGGTGGGGTATGGAAGGAAGCTGGCTGAGGACCCAGGAGATCTGCCATAAACTGACTGTGCGACTTTGGCCAGGTGGCTCAATTACTGTGGGTCTCAGTTTTTTTCTCTATAAAATGAAAAGGATATAATTGATATAGGATTCTACCACTCAGGGCTAGACAGGGAGTCCCCCATTCTCTAGGCCCAGAGCTCAGAGGTCAGACTCCCATTTCCAGGCACAAGCAGACTACCTTCCTGTGATGGTTTTTTTGAGTGGCTCCACCTTGGGTAAGACCACACACCCTATTCCTTCTCAGGGACAAGACTGTAAAGGACAAGGTAACTACATTCATTCATTTGTTAATGCACCCATTTCCACCTACCAACTTGCCAACCAGGTGTAATCCTCTAGACCTAATTCCCCTAGACAAAGAGTCCACGTGGAGACTCCTGGGAGTGTTCTTTGGTTCTTTTCCCTTTCAGAAGCTCTGGTGCTTTTTACTTTTTCTGTATTCCTTTCTAACTTCTAATAAAAGTTCTATCTTACCACTGATCTGCGGTCTGATTCTTCGAATTCCCAAGACAAAGGACCTATTGAAGAGCGAAATTCTGGTATCATAATCAACACTGCATGGTCTCTTAATACCTTCCATATATTAAAATTTCTTTTTTTTTTTTTTT